CAGGCTGGGCTTGAACTCAGCGATCCACTTGCCTCTGTGGTTACCCTGGCCTGAGGACTCAGTCCCAGGTCCTCAGGCGAGGTTTTATACTCTCTGCTGGGGGAATGTCCCTTCCCAGCATCCACCCCAGAGGTTCTGAGGGACTGTCCACACTCAGGACTCAGTCAGCTCCTGGGTCCAGCTGCATGGCTGGCCTGAAGCACCACACAGAGCTCTGCATAGCCGATTCCTAACGGGCAGTCTAATCCAGTGTCTCTCCAATCCTTTAGCTACAACACTGAGAATGAAAGGAAGCTGTGGTCCCACTGCAGAGTGCTCAGAAGGCCTGTGAGAAAGGACCATAGGGCAGTGCCCTGTTGCCCTTGGGTCAGGAATGAATACCTCTGGGCCTGGAATCAAGGGCCTTGCCGCTCAGCTCCACTCACTAGTGAAGTCACCGCCAGTGCCAGCATCAGCCTGGCACATGCCCTTTGCCTCCTGTCTACCTGGCCTGGCTGGTGCTTAGGACTAGAAGTCTGTGCTGACAATTTTGAGTGGGCTGATTGGACCTGAGGAGAGACTGGTGGTGGCTGACCCTGTGCTATGGAGTCCAGACTGCTTGGTGTCACTATGGTCATACCCTCCCGATACCTACCTGGCTAGCACTGCCTGCCCCTGTCCCAGTCAGGCCTGATGGATCCCAGGTGTCCTGGGCCTCCCATAGCCTCAGCTTTGGCCCTGTCCCTGCCCAGGTTGGGGCATGAGGTTTCTCTTCCCACCCTAGCGAGTCCAGGGGGCGATCGTGTGCCTGCTTGCTCCCCTCTGCTCTTATCTCTGCAACTTTCTCCACACTCCCCTCCTGGCTAGACCGGGCTCCTGCTCCTTTGTCCTTTGGACTGGAGTGGGGGTGGTTTCTCTCTGATACAAAAGAGGGTGGGATAAGGCCCAGGGCCCAGGGAGGGGAAGGCGGGGCAAGCCCAACCTGGCCAGATCACTGACCAGAGGCCTGGTGAGGGGAGCACTTCTAAAAGGGTGCAGTGGGGAGGGCTGGGGGGAGGGGGCACCTTCAACGCAAATACTTAGACCAGGTTCCTTAGGTTCCTTAGATCCAGATGGTAGAGGGAACGTCAGGGAGACATTGCTCCACCCAGAAAGGACACAGTTGGGACTCAGTCGTGGGCAAAAACCTTCTTTCTTCATTTATTATGTATACAGTGTTCTGCCTGCATGTATGCCTGAAGGCCAGAAGAGAGCGCCAGATCTCATTACAGATGATCATTGACTGCGATCCACCTTGTAGTTTCTGGGAATTGAACTCAGGACCTGTGGAAGAGCAGCCAGTGCTCTTAACCTCTGAGCCATCTCTCCAGCCCCCGAAAGAATCTTCTTCTACTCCTCAGTATTCATGGGGACATTGCCATCTTGCCAGAAAATTACACATCCCAGCTCTGGACTGGCCTTAAGATACTTAAGAGCAGGGACAGCAGCTCACACCACAGTGGCCAGGGGCCTGCAACTCTGTGGGACAGCAGGTGGGCATCTCTTCCCTGAGAGGAGTCATGTTCTCATAGCTGCATGTCCACCTATTTCTCTGGCTAGGTTCACAGGTTGGTATGTGGTGTCTGTGGTTTTATGAGGTCCGGTTCCATGATGGCTGCTTAGCATGTTCAGTCGGCTGCTGTGTGCCAGCCCTGGGCTCCTCCGAAGACAGACATAGGATCACCCTAGGCAGGCAAGTGATGCTTGCCTTCATAGTGTTATTTTCTGCTCCATGGACCACTGGCTGAGAAAGAGGGCACCAGGGAGGCTGATAAGCAGGGACGAGCAGGGTGTGTGGCTGCTTTGCCTTGACCTAATGGTGCCTGGCTGCTCCTCCTCGGTGTTGGCTGCTCTGTGATGGTAGAGAGAGGGTTGGTATGGCAGAGGCTAATGGGAAGCAGGATTAGAGTCCAGTATTGAAATTCGGATCCCTAGGCCACATGCTACCCATACCTTTTCTTAGCCCAGAAAGCTTCCTAGACCTTCCAGACCCCATCTTCTGGAAAAAAAAAAAAAAAAATGGCAGCCTCTGCGGGTTCCTGATGTCTCAGCCATCTTTCAGGGGACTCTGGGTACAATTTCAAGAAGTCTGATGTTCATCTTCCCAGAGGAAATTAAGCTGAGGGTGACATTTGCCCAGGCTATGGTGTGTGTGTGTGTGTGTATGGTGGTGGTGGTGGAGGTTTCTGCCCCAGGCACTCCACTTTATAACACTGGGTGAGCACAGAGCTGTGAAATTTGATTTCACTCCTCTAGAACAGAACAAGGGTGTGTGATTTCATTCCCAGGATTATGACAGAACCACTTGTTCAGTGGCTTAATAGAAACTCCTTTAATGTCTCTGGCAATAATAAAATCCCCGGTCCTCACTAGAAGATTGCAATGGAGCACACGGTAGGTGGGTTCCACCTGCCACAGATGCGGCCTGTCCTCCCGGGCAGACGGAGGGAAACCAGAGATGAAGAGTGAGCCTTCCCGGCTGCTCCAGCCCTAGTCTCTGACCACAGGTGAAGGCCATAGGCATTTACCCAAGGTGTCTCTTCAAATCCAAGGTTTCCTCTGGCTGGATGTAGTAGCATGGGCCTATAATCCCAGGACTCTGGAGCCAGAAGCAGGAGTTCAAGGCTAGCTTGGGCTGTGAGACACTCTCAATTTAAAATTTTTAAGAACCTCCTTGCTTCATCAGCATCGCCCTAAACTTGGAAAGACACTGAGATTAGCGTACGCCTGTGCAAGGATGGAATGCAAATCTGTGAGGTGCTCTATATTTTGTGTGTGGCATATGTGCATTTGTGTATGGGCGTGTTCATACATGTGGGGGGCCAGGGGAGGACATTAGCGGTTCTGCTGTATCCCTCCCCTCCTTATTTTCTTGAGATAGGGTCCTCTCTGAGTCCAGAGCTAGGCAAGTGGCTCAAGAGCCCCAATGATCCCCCTGTGTGGCCCTCAGGTTACAGGTGCATGTGTGGCTATGCCTGGCTTTTTACATAGGTGCTGAGGATTTGAACTCAGATCCTTGTGTTTGCACAAAAGGCACTCTTTACCCACTCAATCATCTCCCAGCCCTAAATGTTCCTCTTAGAGAGAGAGAGAGGAGGAAGAGAAGGAAAGAAGGAAGGAAGGAAGGAAATAAAGGCAAGTAGTAGTATTCTGTGCCTTTAATCCCAGCACTCAGGAAGTAGTGTTCTGTGCCTTTAATCCCAGCACTCAGGAGGCGGAGGTAGGTGGCTATCTATGAATTCAAGGCCAGCCTGATCTACACAAAGAATTGTAGGCCAGCTAGTGCTACATAATCAGGCCCTGCCTCAAAAAAAAAAAAAAAAAAAATCAATCAAACCAGGCAGTGGTAATTGCAGACCTTTTACTCCCGCACTCGGGCGGCTAGGCAGGTGGATCTCAGTGAGTTGCAGGCCAGCCAGGGCCACACAGAGAAACCATGTCTCAAAAACAATAAAACAACAACAAAGAAACCTGACAGGAGTGTTCCCCCTCCCCCCATAAAATACTCATGAAGTCAGGAGACAGAGTTGCCCCTTCCAATACTCCAGGCAACAAACAGTTCTAAGGTGACTTTGGGCTAGTCTTGGATGTTCAGGGAGCCTTGCGGAGGACTGGCTGGCCCATGCTGCATCCAGTCTCCCTACACCAACACACAAGGGATGGATGGATGGAGAGAGGGAGGGAGGAAGGGAGGGAGGGAGGGAGGGAGATCAATATACCACCAGGAGAAATAACCTGTTGGGTGGTATCCACAGGGATAAGAAAATACAACTGGCTTGTGATTTATAGAGGATATAAAAATACTACTTAACAGTCAGTTCCTTTTGAGTAAGGATTTTATAGTTTCTATAAAAATGATGCACACTTGTTATAAAATATAATCGTGAAAATTCCAGGAAGGAACCAAGTATCCTCCAACTCCAGCCCCCAAAGCCTTCAACATTGCTGTGCTGTGTTCCGGGCATCCCCTTGGTGGAGATGGACAGATGGACAGTGAAGCAGTCATGGAAGGAGCCACCATGACATGTCAGAATATTTAAACTCAGCTGCTCTGGACTATTAAGTAGGTAGCTGTTCATTTTGCCATTTGCCAGCAAGATGCACCAAAGATTTGGGAAAATGACAGAAGTCTGGATGTTGCAGGTCTGGCAATATATGCCTACAATACCAGGGTTGCTGCCTGAGACCAACAGACATTCGGAGTTCTCTTCCCTCCCTTTATTATTATTATTTTTTTAAATCAGGGTCTCTATGTAGTCCTAGCTGTCCTGGAACTCACCATGTAGACCAGGTTGGTCTCGAACTCAGAGATTCACCTGCCTCTGCCTCTTTAGTACTAAATGTGCTACCATACCTGTACCACCCATGTCTCTTACCACCTTTCATCAGTCAGACAGGAGCCAGGCAAGCAATAGCTCGTCTCCAATACCTGCAAGAAGACACAGAGCAGAGGGCTCTTCAACCTGGTGGTCCCGGCACAGGCATTTTGCTGGTTATCTTTGGATCGCCACACGAGACAAAAGCCCCCAGTTGCCTGCCTCAGCATGAAGGCACCTGGATGTTTAAATAACCCACAGCTCAGCACTGCTTACTGCTCACACTACCAGGTCTCAAGCCAGCACCGGTAGCCTGGGAAACTCGGAGTCACTGTAACAGGCTGCAAAAGTGCAAAAGTAACACTAGCCCAGGTTCTAGTGCTTTGCTGGCGTGCCCTGTGGAGGTGCCCAAGTGGGTTACTGAAAGGAAAACCTAGTTTTAGAAATGGCTTGGAATGACCAGAAAACAAGCCTCAGCATAAGACATCTGCTGCTATACTACAAAAATGAAGTTGTTCAGTTGGCAAGATCCACAAAGGCTGGGACCAGGGTTCAAATCCGTGGGACCTGCTTGTGCAAAGTAATGAACCCTATAAATTGTCCTTTGACTTACACACACACATATGGACAGTACTCTCATAAATAAAGAACAACTTTGATGGGTAGTGGTGGTGCATGCCTTTAATCCCAACACTCAGGAGGCAGAGGCAGGCAGATCTCTGTGAGTTCAAAGCCAGCCTGGTCTATAGGGCTAGTTCCAGGACGACTAGGACTGTTATACAGAGAAACCCTGTCTCAAATCCCCTCCCCCACAACAAAAAGCAATCTAAAAAGCAAGAAGTTGTGCTGGAGACATGGGTCAGCTGGTACTGTTTGCCTAGCACACAGGGAACCCTGGGTTCCATCCTCCAACACTGAATGAACCAGCTGTAATGATGCACACCTGTAATCACAGCAGTCATGGAGGCAGAAGATCAGGAGTTCAAATTTATCCTTGGCTACATAGAAGTTTGAGGCTAGCCTGGGCTACGGGAGACCATGTCTCAAAACAAGAAGTCAAATAAGTCAAAAGCTAAATAGTTTCTCACTACCTACTTTGTATTCCAGTTTTGTTCAAAGAAAAGAACACAGACAAAGGGAAGCAAGCTGATATTCGTGGTCTATGTGCACAAAGGGCTGGCGTTTTGCTGTGGCATGGTTTCACTACCGGGTTCTGGTATGAAGACTCGGGTCTGTGACAGGCTTGAGTCACTGTGGAAAGCTGTCCAGGCCTCTGTGGTATGAGGGCCATACTGGGCAGGATATCACATTGGAGTTGGGCCCTGAGAGGATCCTGTGACATACACAGATGGAAGAATAAGACCACTGTCTGCAGGGAACCTGAGGATGCTGAGGAAGCATTTGGAGGTGTGCTGCAGGGCTGAGCCATGTCCTAAACTCCCCGCGGGGACTCCCTCCATTGGGCAGCACAGAAGTCTCAGGTCTCCCGGCCCTGTGGGTAGAAGGGCTCAGCTCTGTTCCAGGCTGCTGGAGACTTGGCTCTGTGGCTTTCTTCTCAATATTTGTCCTTTGCCTCCGGCTTCTCATCCATCAAATCTCTAAAGCCCAGCTTTTCTAGTGGTTCTGGGGCCATCAGCTGCCTGGAAGAGAAAGATGCTTTCATGGACCATGCCCAGCCTTCCAGTGCCCCCATTTTAAAACAGAAAAACAGACCCAGAGAACAGTGCCCTCCCCACAGTGTGAGGAGCCAACAGGCCATGTGAGTCCCAAGGTCCCTCCCAGCCACACAGCCAGTCCAAGTTCACAAGGAAAGGGGCTGAGGATGTGGGCGTGGTCAGACAGTGCCACATGATCCCATGGGAGCTAGCGGAGCCTGGGAGAGCTGAGGCTGTGTCCCCATAGTTGAGGAGGACCAGGGGCGGGAAGAGCAGGGCCCATCAGTGAGCTCCAGGCCAGTGCGACACACACACACACAGCCAAAGGAATATTTCAGTGTGCCTCTGCCCCCTAAGAGAACCCACTTAGAAAGAGGTCCTTCAGATTTCCAAGGCAGGAGCCACTCAAGATGAGCCCTAAGCTGTGCTGCTCTGGCACCTTCAGGGGGCTCAGCCGCGACTGCCTGTCCCTGCGCCACTCTTTCCAGGCACGTGTGATGGGTTTTCACGCCCTCCAGAAACCTTTGCCTCTCTGGAGAGGGGGCCAGGAGGGCTGTAAGGTCAAGACTGGGCTGCACGGGCCAGGCCTCTGAGGTTACCCATGGCCATGAGGCCTAAGGAGGGATGTTTTAATTTAACTTTTATCTATTTTATTTTATCTTTGTTTATCAAGACAGGGTTTCTGTGTCGCTCTGGCTGTCCTGAAACTTGCTCTGTAGACCAGGCTGACCTTAAACGGATCTTCCTGCTTCCCCTGCCTCCCTAGTGCCATGATTAAAGGCATGTGCCAACACTGCCCAATGTTAATTTTTACTTTTTAATTGCATTTATTTATGCGTGTGTGTGTGTGTGTGTGTGTGTGTGTGTGTGTGTGTGTTAGGTCAACAATATTGCTTGCTTGTACTCACCTAGCTCAGGCCTCATAAGTCACAAAAATGGACAGGCAGGGGCAGGGTGTGGATTCTGTGGGTAGAACCCACATACTCTGAAATGCATTACTAATGAGCCACACTCCAGCCCCTCACTGGGGGATTCTAGGCAGGTGCTCTACCACTGAGCTATATCCTCAGCTCTGTTTTTCTTATTATTTTGAAATAGGATCTCAATAAATTGTCCAGATGGTTCTTGACCTCATTCTGTAGCCTCAGCCTCTCCTGTATTACAGGCTCCTGTATTGCTCTCACTGCTGAATTTGCCCAGCTTGTCTGTGGGAGCCTCTCCTTTTGCAGACACCAAGACACAGGGACTGGGCCTGGGGAAGGCAGGGACCTGCTCACATCCTTATCCTAAGGCTGCCGTCACTTTGTCCCTCTTCTAAAGCTCAGCAGCCCCAAGAAGACATTCTTGGCCACCTTCTGAGGCTACAGGCAAGCCCAGCTCTTGGAAGCTGAGTGCCAGCTATGCGCCATTTGGAAGCAGCAAGATCAGAACAAACTCAAGCACTCAAGCTCTGTTTGCAACGGCAGCACAAGGCCTTACAGTTACTTGTCCCCACTGCCTGAGCCAGATCCCACGTAACCCCCACATGCCTACACCTCAGGGATTTGTCTGGGTTTGTCAAACAAAGACTGCAGGCTTAAGTGGACCATTGGCGTCTCCCACCTTGAGAGACTGGGGTGCCTGAATTCCAGTGTGTGCAACTGAGACAGGCCCCTCCCCTGTGTAATGACACGCAAGCTGCTTCTTCACGTTCACAATTGGGATGGCTCTTATTCTAAAGCAAAGCTCCTCAGATCCCTGTTTTTGTTGGTTTAAAAGTAAACTTGGAGGAGTGCAGGCATCATCATCCATCATTGCTTAAGTCTCCTATTGTCCCCATTACATTCCAAACGGCTTTCAATGGGAGGGATGGTGCAATGCATGTTCTTACGGGCTGAGAATGTGGAAAGGCATGAAGACCTGTCAGCTCAGTTGGCGTGCTGTGATGTATGAGAGCTTAATGACAGGGACAAAGCTCTGAGGAATGGGGCTGTCACTCACAAAGAGGTTCTCAGGACAGCTCGGCAGCCTTGGTGCCACCTCACCTGCTAAGCTGTGACTTCTTCCAGCAAATATCAGCCACTCTGATGTGGCCAGGGAGGTGGTTGAGTTGGTAAAATGGACCTGGGTTCTTTCCCCAGAACCCACATAAAGCAAGTTGGGTGTGCTAGTGTGTCTGCAATCCCAGCACTGGGAGGCAGAAATGGGAGGATCCCTTGGCTTGCCTGTGGCCAGCACAGCCTAATCAGTGAATTCCAGGCCAGTGACAGACCTTGTCTCAAAAAAACACAGTGGGAGTTGGAGAGATAACTCAACAGGTAAGAGTGCTTGCTGCTCTTTCAAAGGACCAGGGCTCAGCTCCCAGCACCCATATGGTGGCTCACAACACACACACATACACATACCAAAGGGGAAACAAATAGAAAAATCCAAGCAGAACCCTAGGCCTGAACAAGGTGCAGCTTGCTGGGCATTTTGCAGAATAGGCTGTGGAGCTGCAGGAAGCTGTGATTGGAATTCAGGTCAGAATTGTGACGGTGTGTACTCGCCTTTGCATCCTGCACATTAAATACTCTTTAGATTCATTTCTGCACAAAGCGTTTTCAAAATTCTTGTCGCGGAGACACTTCATGAATTTTTCTTTAAAGCTTTTACATTCACCTAGAAAGAAAAGGAAGACAGTGTCCTGTTTGTAAAGAGAAGGCCTGACCTGCTCATATTGTTTCCTTGCTGGGGCTGTGGATGTGGCTCTGGGGTAGAGTGCAATTGCTTGGGTTCAATCCCCATCACTTCAAAACAAAAACCAAGGGGTGAAGTGATGGCTCATTGGTTATGATCACTGGCTGCTCTTGCAGAGAAACTTAGTTTGCTTCCTAGCACCCACGCTGGGCAGAAAACAAAAGCCTGTAGCCCCAGTTCCAAGGGATCAAACACCCTCTTCTGGTCACCATGGAACCTGCACACATGTAGTGCGTACACTCAGGTGCACACACATACACTCAGATACACATGTATACACTCAGATACACACACATACACTCAAATGCACACACGTACACTCAAATGCACAGACATACATTCAGATACACAGACATACATACATACACTCAGGTGCACACACATAAACTCAGATACACACATATACACTCCGATGCACAAACATACAGATACACAGACATATACTCAGATGCACACTCATACAGTCAAATGCACAGACATACATTCAGATATACATACACTCAGGGTCACACACACATACACTCAGATGCACACTCAAATACTCAAGATTCCTAGACCTACACTCAAATGCATACTCAAATACTCAGATGCACACTCATATACTCAGATGCACAGACATACACTCAGGTGCACACACATACACTCAAATATACACTCAAATACTCAGATGAACACACATACACTCAGATGCACATCAAATACTCAGATGCACACTCATATACTCAGATGCGCACACATATACTCAGACACACACTCAAATACTCAGATGAACACACATACACTCAGATGCACATCAAATACTCAGATGCACACTCATATACTTAGATGCATACACATATACTCAGACACACACTCAAATACTCAGATGAACACACATACACTCAGATGCCCATCAAATACTCAGATGCACATCAAATACTCAGATGCATACACATATACATAAAGTTTAAAAATAAAATTTTAAATAAATTTTAAAACAGAAAATTTCCCAGTGAAATGTTGATAAAGACATAATAATCTAAGGGTAGCGTGAGATGCCTCAGTGGGCAAAGGTACTTGCTACCAAGACTGTCAACCTGAGTTTGACCTCCAAGACCCATGAGGTAAAGAGAGACCCCTCCCCTACTTTCACAAGTTGTCCTTTGACCACATGTGTGCCATAGCACACCCTCAAACACACTAAATAAATATAATTTAAAAACACAACAGTCTCTAAAGCTGTCCCTGAAACTGGAGTCTCCACAGCAAATCACCTAGCGCTCAATCTATACTAACACACCACCATAAACACTACAGCAGCCTTCCTCTCCCTCTCTTTCTCTCTCTCTCTCTTTCTTCTTTTCGAGACAGGGTTTCTCTGTATTGCTTTAGAGCCTATCCTGACACTCCCTCTATAGACCAGGCTGGACTCGATCTCACAGAGATCCGCCTGCCTCTGCCTCCTGAGTGGTAGGGTTAAAGGTGTGCGCCACCACTGCCTGGCAGCCAGCAGCCTTTCTTAGGGTTGGTTTTGTTTGTTTGTGGCAGGTATGGGGTTTTTGTTCGTTTGTTTTTGTAGTGCTGAGGACCAGACTCTGGGCCACTTGTTCCTGTGCATGCTATCCTGGGTCATGAGAACATCCCCAACACTCTCCTGGTTGTTTTTGGTTTTGTTTTGTTTTTCCTTCACATGTTTCAGTTTTCCCAAAGGCACATTAACTGTAGAGTTCAGAACTGTGAATTCTAATCCACTGGGCTGGAGGCACAGCTCAAAGGCAGAGTGCTTGCCCAGCATTGCCAAGCCTGGGTTCTAGCCCCAGTGTTAGATACCAAAAAGCTTTTTGAAAATATTTCTTTGCCTAATGTTCACTGAAGACCCAGAGCCTCAAGCTGGGGGGGGGGGGTGGGGGATGAGGGGCGGCTCCTGGACTGGCAACAGGGGAGCTTCACATTCAGTCCCACTCCAGGAGTCCCATCACCCTCCTGGTCACCTTAGACCCAGGTCTGAGCTCTCACTTGGAAGATCCATGCAATGGCAGGTGGCTCTCTGAAATAAGGATCCTCAAGACTCAGTTTCCCTGCCTGCACCCACACAGGGCTCTGAGCACGCCCAGCCCCAGTCTGTGAGGTGCCTGAAGCTCTAATTGCTCTGCACTCCTAGGCCCCCACCCACCCACCAGATCGAGCATCCCAGATCCCGGGTTTATCACCCCACAAACTGTCTCTCAGATTCAGCACCTCACACCCCATTCCCTCTCGTCCACTTCTAACTCCGCAGACAGTGTACCTAAATCCAGTAGCCCTGAACCTGAACCTGCCATCCATCACAGAAAAACAGCACTCCAGACTCTGCCACGAGACTGAGCACCCCAGACCCTAAACCCAGATCCAGTAACCCTAAGCCAGGTCCTGCACCCATAATCCTGTCACCCAATCCCGGCGTCCCTGATCCTGCTATCCAGAACCAGTATCCCAGACCTTGCCACCCACATCCAATACCCCTGACTCTGTCACCTGTCACCGAGAAAAGCATTCCAGACCCCACCACTCAGACTCAGCACCCCAGGCGCTGCCACCCAGTTTCAATGCCCCTAACCCTGCCACCCAATACCCGGTCGCCGGCAGCCCGAGTCTCGCTTGGCCTCACCGAAGTGGTCCAGAGGGAAACTTCCTTTATCTGGTGGCCGAGGCTGGAAGCTTTTGGTCCCGAAGTTCATTGCGGTCGACATGACGGCGGAATCAAGAGCAGTGAACAGCGGCAACGCAGGGCGGATGGCCGAGCACCGAGCAGGACCAGGAGAAGCGCCGAGTTAGTCGAGCAGTGGACCTGCCCCGCCCCGCCCGTCCAGGCCCCGCCCCCTCAGTGCTCTGATGGAGCGTAATGGTGGCTGCAGTCAAGCGCTTTCCCGTCCTCTTCTCAGTAGAAGCCCAGGCATCTTTTAGTATCCATGAGCAAACAAGATCAGAGAGGTGCAGCCCCTTGCCCGAGCATGCCAGTTTGTGTTCCGGTGTCTTCATCCCATCCAGCTGTCTGTCAGGGACTGAGATTCCCATATGCTCAGAGTCTAAGCACGGCAAGAAGTATACTGAAGGACACTAGCTTCCGGTGGGTGTTGTGACACAGTTCCGCCAACAGGGGTTTTACAGTCAGAAATTAAAGCACCTGTAGCCCTGGCTGGGGAGGTTGAAGCAGGAGGATTGCCTGAGTTTTAGGCAAACCTGGGCTACACAGCAAGACCCAGTTTCACGAAACAAAACTGCCCAAAAGGACATTTATGGCTCAAGAGACTGGAATTCTAAGCCTAAGGTGTGGGCCATTAGCTCCACGGTGGGCTGCTGTCCTTGCTGCCTGCTCTAGGGAGCCCAGGTTCCCCACCCGCCCCAGCCTCTGGAGTGTCCTGTCATCTTGGCTAATTCTAGATTGCTAGAAGAAATGTTCCTTCTGGGCCTCCACTTCTGGTGGCATTCTCCCCCTGTGTCTGTGTTCAAGCATTCCTCATAGGAGGACATTGCCACCTTGGGGTTGGACCATCCCAACATCTTTTTTCTTTATTTCTTGCCTTTTTTTTTAAGTCTCGTTTTTTTTTTTTTTTTTTTTTTTTTTTTGACACAGGGTTTCTCTGCATAGTCCTGGCTGTCCTTGAACTCACTCTGTAGACCAGGCTGCCTGCCTCTGCCTCCAGAGTGCTGGGATTAAAGGTGTGTGTCACCATGCTTAGCTCATGGAACAATTTCAACCCCAGCTGCTCACATCTGCCACGACATTATTTCAGAAGAGGCCATCAGGTCCTAGGGAGTTGGGAAGGAATATTCTATGATGATGGGATGCAGTCTACTGACTTGTTATGGCAGCAACACCTGTCCACAGACCCCTGCTTTTCAGCTGGGGGACAGAGAAGACCACTTGCTCCTTGCCTCCCAACACTGGCTGTGATTGTGGGATGCTGTTTATCATCCCATCTCAGCCACAAATGGCTTCTGTGTCACACATCCATCCAGATCCTGGCAGTAAGCAGGACGAGCATCAATGAGCTCATAGCAGCATCTTGGGGCCAGCTCTCCCTCTATAGTCCTGGTAGATCCCAACATCACTAATACTTCCAGTGCTGGGTAGAAGGAAACAATTCCTAGGGGCTGCAGAGAGGTGCACGGCCAGCAGATTTTTAGCTCCCACCCTCTTCCACCTTGCTTGACAACCCTCCTCCATAGCTATCCATTGGTCTTCTTGCTGGATCCCTTCTTGCGTGGAAGGCTGGATTTAGCTTCTGGTGTCCAGACCTATAGACAGCCTTGCAGAGGGGTACCACCTCCCTACTCAAACCTCCAGAAAGTCCATTCCAATTCTAGTTCAGCTTACCTCTCAAGAAGGGGCCTAGGGAGATGCCTTAGCAGGCAAGAGTACTTGCTATACAAACATGAGAACCTGAGTTCAAATTCTCAGAGCCCCCCCAAAAGCCAGTCCGGTATCATTGGCCTAAAAGCCCAGCACTGAAAGGGGTTGGGGCTTGCTAGCTGCCAGCCTAGCTCCAGGATCAGCAAATACCCTATCACAAGGGGATAAGTTGGACAGTGATAAAGCAGGACACCTGACCATCCTCTTGGGGTTTCCACCTGTGCATGAGGTACACACACACACACACACACACACACACACACACACACACACACACGAGGCGGGGGGGGGGGCAGGGTTAAGAGAGGAACGACTCCAGAAGGAAAACTGTACTTTGTCCTTGTCGTGTAAACAACTCTTTTTCTACCTTCTCCATGGCTGGAACCAGGGGCCACACACTGAGTTACTCATTAATTTTTTTGAACTGTAAACAATGGTGGCTTTTATCTGAGCAAGCAGCCCTCTCTGCTTAAAATGAAAGGACATCTCTATCCCTGAGGTGTCAGGACCTCTGTTAGCAGCCCTGAAGAACCAAGAAAGTATCAGGGGCTGTGCCATGACAGCAAACTTTTAATCTGGCATTCCTAGGAAATAATACTGCCTTGTATGAGCTTCATGTTGTTTGTAGCTCTGGCTGCCTCAAACTCACTGAGATCTGTCTCCTAAGTGCTGGGTTCTTAAGTGTTGTGATCAAAGGTGTGCACCACCACACCCCGCTGCTTAGCTGAGGTGTGTGTGTGCGTGCATGTGTGCGCGTATGTGTGTGTGTGTGTACACCTGTGTGTACACATGTGGAGGCCAGGGCAGGATGTCAAGCGTCTTCTTCCATATTGCTTCGATGTGGGGGTCTCTCTCTGAACTGGAAGCTCACCATTTTTGGCAAAGCTGGTTAGCCAATAAGCTTTCAAGATTCATTTGTCTGTGTCCCCCTCCCCAGTGCTAGGGTTACTGGCATGCATGTCTGCTTGGTTTTTTATGTGGATGGTAATGATTCAAACTCAAGTCCTCATGAATAATCATGCAGCAAGCATGCTTACTTACTAAGTCATCTTTCCATCTTTTCAGACACAGTCTCTCACTGACCCTGGGACATCCTAATTCAGGAAACTGGTTTGCCAGTATACTCCAGGGATTTTCTACTCTGATTGGTCATCAGTAGGAATACTCATAGGTTTTCTGTAACTCTGATAATAGGTTTCTCTGCTAATGCAATAAGCCAGATCAAGTCAAATTAAGAAGTAAAAGATTGGGTGGGCAAGGGTGACCCAAGCCTTTAATTCAAGCACTTTGGAGGCAGGGCAGGAGGATCTCAGTGAGTTCAAGGTCAGCCTGGTCTATGAAGTGAGTTTCAGGACAGCCAGGACTGCTATACAGAGAAACCCTGTCTCAAAAAAACAAAACAAAAAGTAAAAGATCAGATATATTTGAGCAAAGCAACTCCCGGGTGAGTCCTCCAGGCCCAGAGATCAGGATGGGGGTTAGGGGGCAGGAGAGGAATCACATGGCTGATCCGAAGGAGGAGGCTTAAATACCCTGTGATTGCCAGGCACTGAAACATGCTCCACAAGCTGGGTTTTTGCCCAGTCATGACAGGCAGGGTCTTGAGCAGCTAACAGTCTACTGGGAGAAGCTGCTTCCAGGAATGTGGAACTGGACTCCCAGCAGCCTCTCTGGGAGGGTGGAGTTTGGAGAGAGAGAACTGGGACAGAGACGGAGATTCCAGCTGAGCATCATGTACCAACTGCCTGGCTTTTATATGGATGGTGGGGGATCTAAGCCCAGGTCCAAGTGCTGGCACAGCAAGCACATTACCAATGAAGCCATCTGTCCAGTCCTGAGATTTATTTTTAATAATCTTCAGTTTACATATATGAAAAGTGGCGAGAGAACTCCCAGCTTTGACATTATGTTGTACTGCACCAGCCCACTTGGGCTGACAATAGTAGGATGGCTATGTCCTTGGACTGATGGTGTTCTACACCTAGCTTCTTCCAGGCCACCCAGGCCTCCTCCCAGCATGGCACTAAAGGCTGGGTGGGAACTGTATCTCTTTTTGACCTAGCCTGTGGAGTGCTACAGTATCCCCCACAGTGCCTCTAAATCCAAGTGTGGGGAAATAAAGTCCCCTTCTGCTAGAAAGATAGCAACATCATATTACATGGAGGACATATGATCAGGAACATCTTGTGTGGTCATCTTTGGTGGGTACTCACCCACCTCCCCATCAGGTCAAGGTCAGATCCAACCTGAGCCAGCCAATCAGAGTTGTGCATACAGGGATTACTCAGGGCATCTGTCAGCCCAGCCCTCAGTAAGTCTGATGAGAACAGACCCTCAGCGGATTGAGCAACCATGCTGGAGACAGTTAGTGCCACACCTTTGCAGGGTGTGGGGGAAATTCCATAACAATTTAAAAAGGAAACAGCCTGGGGCTGGGGATGTAGCTCAGGAAAAACTAAGATTTAATCCCCAGCACTTGAAAAAAGAAAGAAAGAAAGAACAGCTATAGGCATGATGGTGCACACCTACAATGCCAGTCAGCACTCTGGAGGAGTCAATGGTCAGCCTAGACTACATACGTTAAAAAAGACTTTAGAAGTGGGGATGTAATTCAATAGTACAGAGTTAGGTCTCAAACCCCGGACAAACTGAGGTGCCTTTTAGTATATCAAAACAGACCTAGCCACCAGGTTCTCCCAGCATTCCTCAGTCCCTACCTGTTCCAGGGTACATGGCTGGCACACTCTGCCCCCTACCTTAAACTTCCCTATCTAACCCAGCCATTTAAATTACCTGTCTCTTTTCATCTACCCTTTCCTCTCCTGGCTCACCCTCTCCTCTCACCCCCCCCTCACATTGCCCAGCTCAGGATTATGGACTCTTCCAGATGTCCCTACCTCTGGCCATGCTCTCCCTCATATCTACAGTAAATGTTGTTCACCATACCTAGGAGCAGCCATGTCCTTCCTCTTTCTTTCTTTCTCTCTTCCTTCCTCCCTCCCTCTCTCTTGCTTTCTTTCCATTCATGGATCACCTGCCTAGAATCCCCCAGTGAGGGGCTGGGGTGTGGCTCAGTGGTAGAGCACCTGTCTAGAATCCCCTAGTGAGGGGCTGGGGTGTGGCTCAGTGGTAGAGCACCTGTCTAGAATCCCCTAGTGAGGGGCTGGGGTGTGGCTCAGTGGTAGAGCACCTGTCTAGAATCCCCCAGTGAGGGGCTGGGGTGTGGCTCAGTGGTAGAGCACCTGCCTAGAATCCCCCAGTGAGGGGCTGGGGTGTGGCTCAGTGGTAGAGCACCTGCCTAGAATCCCCCAGTGAGGGGCTGGGGTGTGGCTCAGTGGTAGGGCACCTGCCTAGCAAGGCCTTGGGTTTGATTCCCAGCATCACGAGAAATAATAACAATACTCCCCCCACACACACACACGTACACTTCACTACTACTTTGCAATATCTACTTTGCAACATCTCTTGCAGATGTGTACAGGAGCAAGTCTTACTATACAGGACAAGCTGTCCCAGAGCTCACAATCCTCCTGCCTTCTCCTCCCCAGTGCTGGGATCACAGGTGTGCCCACCTCCCTTTGCTTTACTTTCATATCGTTAGCAGATTACTTTGTGACAGTTTAAGGCTAGGAACAACGTGAACATACACACCCACCACACCCAACACAGCAGAGGAGGCCCGTGTCTAATTCTGGGTACACAGTCGTGTTAAAAATAGCATTAAGCAATGTATGATGAATGTATAGTAAGGGACACACTGGGCTTGAGGAAACTGTGGAATGACTGATACTTAACTAGCTTAATTGTGGTAATGGCCCAGACACATGCCCAAACTCATCAGAATCCGTTTTAAATACCACCCATCTTTTTTTTTTTTTTTGTTCTCAGCTCTTGGGAATGGGGCCCTGGACCTGGTGCATGCTGGGTGAGTGATCTGTTGCTAACCTGTACCTATCTGCAGCCCAGATTTTGTGAACTATTCATATGGTTTTGTATATGTTGATAGTATTATAAGTGTGTTGGGTAGGTGGGGAAGCTGTGCAAGCAGGAGGACTTGTGTTTTATCCCCACAACCATGTAAAAAGGCCGGCAAAAAACATATAGTACACACTTGTAATCAGCACTGATGAGGCAGAGACAAAAGAACCCCCTCCCCTGACACTCAGCCGGGCAGCCAGCCCAGCCAAAATGGTGAGCTCCACGCCAGTGAGAGATCCTGTCTGGATAAACAAGGTGGAGCTGAGGAAATAGCTCAGGGGGTAAAATGCTGTGCAAGTCTGAGGATTCCCAGATCCTATGTGAAAGTGGATGTGGTGTCCCAGCGCTCTTACAGCAAGACGGGAGACATCCCAGAAGCCCTTAGGCCAGCTAGTGTCTAGCATGCAGCTGCAAACAAGACTGTCTCAAACAAGGCGGGAGGTGAGAAGTGACAGCAGAGGTCATCCTCTGACCTCTCCTCGTACGCTGTGGCATACGTGTGCTTGCATACGGACACACAACACACACACACTCTTTCAATTGCACTTGATGCATACTAGTAATCTAAACTCTAATGAAGGAGAGGCTGAAGGATTAGGAGTTCAAGGTCAGACTCAGTTACATAGTGAGTTTAAATTAAGGCCAGCCTGAGCTACGTGAGATGTGAGACCCTTTATCAAATAAACAACAACAACAAAAATCCTTCCCCCCAATAGCCCTCAAGTTAGCTGAGTAGTGCTGCCTGTAATTCCTACCCTCAGGAGAAAAAAGCTGGAGGATTTGGGCCACACCAGTCATGGCACAAGCATGGACGCTGCAGTCTTCCCTAGGTCCCCAGGGAGGAGCTGTCCACAGATACCTGGACACCAGACCACATCACTCACCCAGGCAACTTCGGGGTGAGCTTCTGTGGGTCTTTGCTGCAGCCATAGGGGCTCTCATGTGGCAGGTGAGCTCATGCCTGCTCCCGGAGGGGCTGCAGACCCCTGTCCTGATCACCCTGACACCTCTCCCATCCCAGCCTGTGTGGCTCCTCTACACCTCCCTCCACATCACATCGTCTCCGACAGCCAGGCAAACCTCAGCTCACTAGCTACAGTCCAGACTCCACCAAGCACCATCTGCCTTGACTGTCCCCACCCCACACCCAATGCATATTCAATGGCAAACGGAGTCACACCGATCTCGCCCTGGAATTGTGATGGCAGGATCCTACCGGTCCCTCTGCCACTGATTTCCACAGCCCTGACTCCTGGCCAGGGCCGGCACAGCATGAGTACCCAAGGAGTGCTTCCTGCAGCAGTTATGTAGATTTCCCTGGCTGGGTAGCATCCCTGGCGTGGATGTGTGTGGATGCCCAGTAAGTGGCCTCGGTAGCAGTAGTGGTTGAAAATGGCCCAGATATTCAGAGTGGTGACAAGGAGCTGTCCCAGTCCAGGCTCATGCTGCTCAAGGGAAGAGAGGTGCGAGGTTGCCATTGCAGGTGAGATGCAGCCTAGGCTGGGCTTTGCTTCACAGGCAATGCAGGGGAGCAAGACTCCCTGGGTGCAGGGAGTGGGGATGGCTTCTGCTTCATCTTAGCATTTGTGCAGGGTGTGGAAGACACCCCGGGGGACAGGCCCCATGGTGAGGGGCCCCGCTGCAGGTTGGGGGACAGGACTCCAGGTGCCTCATGTTGAGGCAGGCTGCGGGAAGCAGCTCAGCTACTTCTGTTGCCAACACAGTCACCCGCCCCCCATAGCCTTTTCTCACAGGGGCACCTCCTCCCCAGTGAGGCCACCAAGGTTTAAGAGACAGGATTAGGGCCCAGACAGCTAGGGCTGTAAACCTGGACACCTGCTGTGTCTGTACACAGTCTGCTAGATGGCCCCTCAGTGTCTGGGCGGCCCTACCCCTTACTTCAGGCTGCTGGGGTGAGCTCTCTCACCTTCAGGAGACACTGGCTGCTTCTGAAGGCAGTGGGCTTTGAGGTCCTTGTGACTAGAGAGGCCCTTGATGTCTGAGCAGGACATTCAGTGTCAGAGGCCCTGCACCTGCTGGGCTCTAGGGTCCTGCTTCTGAAGGCTGCAGTCTGATGACACAGGGGACTCTTCCTTTCAGAATGAAAAACCAGTCCCCAAATCCACAAAGTTCCACATTGATGAGAAGACTACATAGAGCTAACGGGATCCCAGAGAATTGGGGACAGAATAGAAAATGGACTCTGACCATGGAGCATATGGAAGGGTGTGGATAGCTTGGAAGCCTGGCCCCAGATGGTCAAGGTTCAGACAACCTGTGACCAAAATCCCTGGCCCTGCATCTCCTACAGAGGTTCTTTCAGACCCCACCTCAGGCTCCCTGCCACAGAGGCGACCCTGCATTCCACACAGCCTGTAGCTTTAATTCTCCTGCTGGGCTGTCCCCTGCAAACTGCTCGTTCCACATTCTCGGGGTGGTGGGGTGGGTGGGGTGCTGGCACGCCCTGGGGAGGATGGCTATAAGGCACAGGGATCACTGGGCCCCTGGAGAGCGCAGGGTTTGCTATCCAGCTGTTCACATGGCTCTGCTGCTCCTGGGTGTCTGGGGAATCTTGCTGCTTCTGGGGCTGTGGGGGCTGCTCCGGGGCTATGCCCAGCCCCCCTCCCTGGCCCTTCGGTGGCCTCCTGGGCCTCGCCCTCTGCCATTTCTGGGGAACCTGCATTTGCTGGGTGTGACCCAACAGGACCGGGCACTGATGGAGGTAGGGTGGGCAGTCCTATGTCATCTTACAGCCTGGAGGGTATTTGTGTCCTAGCTCTGATAAGGGAAGCCAGGTGGGGAATATAAGAAGCCAGAGGCTTGTCCCCAGGGAGCAGATGTAGGAAGTAAGATCTGACCTAGACTGGGGATATAGCTCATTGCAATATGCGTTTTAGCATGCGCAAGGGCCTGGCTCTATCTCAGCATTGCAAATACTAATACTAATACTAATACTAATACTAATACTAATACTAATACTAATACTAATGCTACTAATACTACCTCTACTACTAATAAAACATAGCTGGGAAGTGCAGGCCAGGGTCCCAGTGGGCAGGGTGGCCTCTGTGTGAGGCATGTTTGTGCGAAAGCCTGCATGGGACAGTGAGGAAGGTGGTAGATGTGTCTGGAAGTGACTGACATGGGGCATGGCTGCAGATCTTACTGCAGTGCCTTTGTCTGGTGGTGGCGGGCAGGGGGTGGGTGGCAGTTACCGGGGTATGGCTTCTCCCCAGGACCTGAAGGAATGCTGGTTGCGCTGCCTCTAGCCAGGGCTGACGGACTCAGTGGGGTGGAGGTCCTTGAACTTTGGCCGGGGGACTCTTGTTTGCTGAGAAGTCCACACAGCAGCAGACATGAATGGAAGGGGCTCTGCCTCCACCTTTCCCTGGGTAGATCAGGGTGCTAGGTTCAGGGGCTCAGACCCCACTCCCAGCTTGTTTCTGGGGAGCAGATGTCAGGGAGGGCCCGCTATGGCTCTTCGTGAGGCCCACACGGGTACCACTCCTGCTTTGCCATTTTCACATGTTTTTGTCTTTGAAATGGGGAGACAGCAGTCTGAACAGCACCCCCTCCTGGGGAGACTGGAGGGACTGTGGGGGGTGGTCCCCTTCAGCTCCTAAGTTGCCAGTCTACAATATTGCTGTCCTGCTACCCTAGCTATGGAGGATGGGTGGAGGCCACCTGTCTGACGCCTGTCTGTCCCTACCTACCAGCTCTCAGAACGCTACGGGCCAGTGTTCACAATCCACCTGGGATCTCAGAAGACTGTGGTGCTGTCAGGCTACGAGGTGGTGAGGGAGGCCTTAGTTGGGACCAGGCATGAGCTGGCCGACCGGCCTCCAATCCCCATCTTCCAGCTCATCCAGCGAGGTGGGGGTAGGTGGGCATTGGGATTCCCTGACAGATGGGAGGGGCTTGGCCTTTTGGGCAGCTGTTGGGGAGGGACAGGATCAGTCCATTGCAAGCCAAGAGAGATATAAGCAAGGGTAACCTCTGAATGGCAGGGGCCTGGAGTTGAGCCTGGGGCCCCCACTTGGGCCCTCCTGATCCCTGCATGCATCACCAGGATGGGGAGTGGCTGGCACCCAACAGGCATCTTCTTTTCCATGTCTACCCAACAGGCATCTTCTTTTCCTCTGGAGCTCACTGGAGGGTGGCTCGCCAATTCACAGTGCGCACACTGCACAGCCTGGGTGTGGGACAGCCACCCATGGTGGGCAAGGTGCTCCAGGAGCTGGACTGTCTTAAGAGGCAGCTGGACAGCTATGGAGGTGAGTGGGGGACCAGGGAGGCCCTTCCCCAGGATCCCTGCCCACCTGAGGCCTGTCTTCCTCTCCAACCTCCAGGCCAGCCCTTTCCCCTGGCCCTGCTGGGCTGGGCACCCTGCAACATCACCTTCATGCTCCTCTTCGGCCAGCGCTTTGACTACCAGGACCCCGTGTTTGTGTCCCTGCTGAGTCTCATTGACCAGGTTATGGTCCTGTTGGGGTCACCTGGCATACAGGTGAGAGGCTGCCACTCCACAGGGAATTGAACCCCTACTAAACTAGGGTGTGGGGGCCACCCCGAGATCAGGGCTGGTTGGTACCCAACATTCTTCCTCCTTTCCCCAGCTGTCAGCCTCATCCCCCTTCCCCTGGGGCTGGGGAATGTGGCTCCGTTGATAGAGCATTTGCCTAGCAAGCATGAAGCCTTGGATTTCACCTCCGGGACCATATAGGCTGATCATGTGGTGCACACCTGTAATCCCAGCACTCTGGAGATGGAGTCAGGAGGATCATACATTCAAGGTCACCCTCGGCTACATAGTGAGTTTGAGGGCAGCCGAAGCAACATGAGGCCCTGTTTCAAAAGAGAAAACAAAACTAAAATGAGCAAGGAACATGTGACACTGGCCAAAGACAGACATTGGTTGGCATATTTTGCATGTGAACCAAGCCCTATGCTTTCTGGCAGATGGGGCATCTGAACCAGGGAGCCCCGCTTTCCCCCAAAGCCCCTACAGCGATAGATACTGCTGATAAAGGTGAGAGGGGGCTTTACAGTATTTTGGGACCCCTGTCCCAAAGGTTCCCCACACCCAAACATCTTTTATTATATTTATTAAAATTTTATTTTATATGCAATGGTGTGAGGGTGTCAGATCCCCGGGAACTGGAGTTACAGACAGTTGTGAGCTGCCAAGTGGGTGCTGGGAATTGAACCTGGGTCTTCTGAAGAGCAGCCAGTGTTCTTTACCACTGAATTACTCTCCAGCCCCTTTTAGTTATTTTTTTGAGAGGGTCTCTCTGTGTAGTTCTGGCTGCCCTGGAACTCTGTACAGATCGGACTGGCTTCGAACTCACAGAAATCCACCTGTCTCTGCCTCCTGAGTGCTGGAACTAAAGATGTTCTTGACCACATGATCCTCATCACAGAAATCACAAAAACCAGCCCTTTCTATGTCCAGTGCCCTAAAGTTTAAAGAGTCCTAGCTTTGGGCCACCATGCTCCTAACTGAAGCCTAGATACTCAGCTCCCAGCACCCTAACCCTTACAGTTGGGCCTTGACTCAGGATGAGGCCCCACAGGGGTGAGGGTGAGCAGCCACTGTGATGAGCATGCTCTTAGGCTTGGGATTCCCACCCACATAGTCAGGGCAAGCTCAACCTCAGAGGACTCCTGGGGGATGGAGGAGGCGGGATCTCCCTGGATAGCCCAGGCAGTAAGGATGGTTCTCATCACTTTAGAGCATTTCCCAGCAGTAATTAATTGCCAATGTAGGGCAATTCTGAATTCCTACTGGCTCCAGCTCCACTCTACTGTAAGCTACACATTGTCCCTTCCCGAGACCTGTGAGCCCCCACAGCTGTGACTCCACTCTCATGGTAGACATCCCCCCTTTGCCCTTCCCTTTCAGCAATAATAGAAAGGAACTCGACTCTAGGCAGCCATTACTTTTGGTCTTGGCAGAGCCATCCAAGTACAGCAGGTCAGCTGGTTCCTTCTGAATACCCTGAGATTCTCTCCTGGCTCCTAGACTTCCAGGAGGGTGGCAAGCCTTCAGTACTGCTGGCCTGGTGCCCTCTTGTGGCCAGGGGCAGCACTGCCCGATGCACCTGCTGATGCATGGATTGGCTTGCTCATGGAACATGAGCATCTGTCTCCTCAACTCTACTCCACCCCACTGTCTCGCCCTCTCTCAGCTGTTTAACACCTTCCCTCGGCTGGGGGCTCTGCTGCGGCTGCACAGGCCTGTCTTGAGCAAGATCGAGGAAGTGCGTGCCATCCTGAGAACCCTCCTGGAGGCACAGAGACCACCCTCACCAAGTGGCGGCCCCACGCGGAGTTACATGGAAGCTCTGCTTCAACAGGGCCAGGTGTGAACAGGGCCAGGGCTTCCCCAGAAACCAGGTCTGGGTTTGGTGGCCCCAGCTCAAGGGCGGGGAAACTATGGGGCCCTCTGGGAGTCTCAGTCTCCTCTTCTGTGGGGATTGAGCCCTTAAAGTACTGGGGTTGGGTGGACCCTCAGTAAATGCCCGTCTCCCCTCCCCCCACCTGATTTCTACCCATCCTTCTCTGAAGCCTAGGACTGGGGTGGGTCCACAGAGTTTCATGCTCAGTTCTAACCATCTGCCCCGCAGGAGGATGACCCTGAGGGCATGTTTGGTGAGGCCAATGTCCTGGCCTGCACACTGGACATGGTCATGGCTGGAACAGAGACCACGGCAGCCACGTTGCAGTGGGCAATCTTCCTGATGGTTAAGCACCCACACGTGCAGGGTGAGAGTCACCCCAAGGCAGGGGATTAGAACCCTTAGGGGTGAGGGATGAGGCTTCACCCATGTGGTGTCACCCTCTGGCCTAGGACGCGTACAGGAGGAGCTGGACCGAATACTGGGCCCCAGGCAGCTACCCCAGCCAGAGCACCAGCAAGCACTGCCTTACACCAGTGCGGTGCTGCATGAGACACAGCGGTACATCACACTCCTGCCCCATGTGCCCCGCTGCACAGCTGCCGACATACAGCTGGGTGGCTACCATCTTCCTAAGGTGGGGCCCTACTCTTCCCTCTTACGGGTGGACCGGGGACTTCCTGGGTCTCACATTCCTCTGTGACAGAGGTTAACACCATGTGGTATAGTTGGGAGGCAGGAACTGCCCCCCGGTGGTGCTCTGCCACCTTCCCTCCTTCCAAGCAGACCAGCCCACCCTGGGCCCCTCTACCCTACAGGGCACCCCTGTGATCCCTCTGCTGACCTCGGTGCTCCTGGACAAGACGCAATGGGAGACCCCAAGCCAGTTCAACCCACACCACTTCCTGGATGCCGATGGGCATTTCGTGAAGCGGGATGCCTTCCTGCCTTTCTCCACTGGTAACTTGCTGGCCCTCAGCCTTCACCAGTCTCTGCTTGCCACTGTCCCTTCCAGGCGCAGGCCTGGCACCCCCTAAATGGTGCCTTGGTTTCTCTCACAGGCCGCCGGGTCTGCGTTGGAAAGAGCTTAGCCAGGACAGAGCTCTTCCTGCTGTTTGCTGGCCTCCTCCAGCGGTACCATCTGCTGCCCCCACCCGGCCTCAGCCCGGAAGACCTGGATCTACGGCCTGCCCCAGCCTTCACCATGAGGCCACCTGCCCAGACCTTGTGTGCGGTGCCGAGATCCTAGGGTGCTCACACACTGGAAAACTACCAGAGCCTAGTCTACCTCTCCCTCAGGACATACTGTAGGCAATGGTGCAGCTGGAGCATCCCTAGCAATGCATCACGGGTAACAGGGCCTACTCTGTCCCTCTGGACCACCAGTGGAGTCCAGTGTACAGTGAACAGTAGGGCCAGGCTGCTCACCTCTGACCACTGGAGGCTGGAAGCTGGCCTTTCATCGGGGCACCATGCGTGCAGCGGCGGGTGTATGTGTGTGTGTGTGTGTGTGTGTGTGTGTGTATGTGTGTGTGTAGATATGCCCCCTGCCCAGCCCAGCCCAGCCCAGCCCAGCAGTCCTACCTTGGCCTGATAAGGTGTTTCCAGGAACCCTAACCTACCTTACAGATTCTTACACCCCAAACACTACAGACTGTTCTGCACTCTGGTCCCCAAGGCAGCCCAATCTCCAGAACACAGACTAGGCCCTAGTACTTTCTTTGTTCTACTTGCCCACCAGGCCCTAGCATTGGCTATACACAGGCTCTGCACCAGGCCACGGGAGTCCCCACACCCAGATGCATGGTCTACAACCCTTCCACAGACCCCAGTGTACCCTCCTGTCTTTCTACCTAGGCAGAGCCTATCAGTCCCAGTTTGGGGTGCTTCATCCTTGCCTGGAACCAACGGGATCCCAGGCAATGCCCGCGCTTAGCCACAGGTGACATTTCTGTCCCCTTCTTCTGCCCCTTCTGCTGTGAAGATGGCACCCCGTGGTCACCGGGGGCAAGAATGCTAGGTGGAAAGGAGCCTCTCCTGGCTGATTTCTGGGGAACCTCTCCCAGGTTTCTAAAGCCAGTTCTCACTGGCACTGAGGAATCTATCACATTTCCCTTTTCAACTTGGCTACCAGGAGACCCACAGCTATGGTTCTTGACCCTCCCACCTACGTTCCTCAGTGTGGAATGCTCGGGCTGAGCATGTCTGTTACGACAACATGCCAAATCTAGCAGTCCTTCAGCAGCAGTCCTGTGGCCCCTGATACAGCCCCAGACAGCACAAGGCTTCCTCAAGTGGAGAAAGGCTGGGCTAGATGCCACCAGGAGTGGCAAGAGCCAGCTGGAGTGCACGTAAGACCCCCATCGGGTGACGCTTGAGTCCCTTCTGGCATCAAGAGTGGTGGCTGATGGTGAAGGGACATGAATGAGTCCCCCTTGGGCTCTGATGTCCAACGCTTTGATTCTAGTCTAGGCAGTGCTTTAAAGTGACTAAACCTGAAGTGACAGAAATGTCTGAGGGATACAGGAGAAGGCTGGGGAAACGGCTTTGTAGGTGAGGTTGGATCTGGCCACAAATAGCCAGATTGCTTGAGACCCTTGACCCATGAAGAGGTGGCTGCCCCTCACACCACATGTAGTATTTGGCCACTGTGCACTAGTGCTAGGGACCTGTGACAAGCCTATCACTTTTCTTTTTTTCCAGACAGGGTTTTTCATGTAGTCCTTGCTGCCCTGGAACTTACTATGTAGACCAGGCTGGTCTCAGACTCAGACATCTGCCTGCCTCTACCTCCAGAGTGCTGGTATTAAAGGTGTTTTTCACCATTGCCCAGCTCCATCTTAACACTTTCACAAGGCCCAGGGACAGCTCAGCTCAGCTCCACTCAAGTGAAATGGCATGGTTTGCAGCCCGGGGGCTGCCCCAGTGTGCATCCTCTCTTCTGCAATTTGTGGCAGGCTGGAGGGCAGTAAGCCGATGTGCTCAAAGCTTGTGGATGTAGGGACTGCCCTCTAGTGGCTGATGGAATTGAACAGACTTCTCAGGAAGGAATTGTGGCTGCTCTTACAGGCTCAGGATGTTGTGAACACTTGGACCTCTGGGCAACTGAGGGCAGCCTGGCTTCAACCCAGCTGGCTCTGGCTGGCCATCTCCTCACTGTGACGCACGTTCTGTCCACTTGGAGCTGGGAGTGGGTGGTGGAACTCTGTCCTCTTGGGCCTTGGATCAGAGCAGCTGTCACCACCCAAAGGAGACCCTTGAAGGACTGGGACTGTTAACTTGCCATGTAGGGGAGGGATACCAGGGTGGGAGAGTCACCTTATCCACCTGAGTTCCCAGCCACCCTTCCCTCCTGCCTCTTCAACCATGGGCTGCAACCCTACATGGGCACAAAATACTTGGCAAATCAGACATTTCTGTGCAACAATCAAAAATCAGAAGTAAAATGTGTAGCCTGGTGGTGGTGCACACCTTTAATATCTGCTCTGCAGAGGCAGAGGCAGAGACAGGCAGAACTCTGAGTTTGAGGCCAGTCTGGTCTACACAGCGAATTCCAGGACAGCCAGGGCCAGGAAACCATGCCTAGAAAAGCAAAAAATAAAGATAGATAAAATGTGTAACAAATCCTAGCTGTTTCCTGGTGTCACACAGCACAACTTCCTTGCAGCCTTAGTTCTGAACACACATGTATGTTCTGAACACACTGTGCATGCCCCCCCACATGGTATGCAACCTGAAATACCCTGGCTTACGGCCAGATGCTATCAGTTTCAGGGCTTTATTTATTTTGTTTTTTGAAACAGGGTTTCTCTGTGTAGCCCTGGCTGTCCTGGAACTCACTTTGTAGACCAGGCCTGCCTCTGCCTCCTGAGAACTGGGATTAAAGAGTCCCAAGGCTTAAGACAGTTTGTGGAAAACAGGCTTTCTGTGTTTTCTGTCCCCCTTCAGTTTCTCAGCAATAAGGTCACAAATCCATGGACTGTGCTACATTAGATGGTCATGAATATGCGAATTTATTTAAATCTATCATAAATGGAAAAATTATATGATTTCAGAATTGTTTTAAAAAATTTATTATGATATAGCATATATTTGATCTGTAAACCTCTTTTATATAGATCTATACCCAGGGCTGTGTGAGTTACTCTGATAGGAAGGGGTATCTGATAGGAAGTTACTCTGATAGTGAGGAGTTCCAGAAGCTGTGGGCTGGACAGCCCGGGAGGCAGAAGGTGGACACTGCATGGCTCCTACACAGTTCCCAGGGAACTCACTGCTCAATGAGTTGGGCTTGCACCAAATCCTCTCTGGCTGGTCAGTGTTCTCCCCACATGACATCTATAGACAACTCTTTATGGTCTCCAGGAAAAGTCCCCCAATGGGAGACAGGCTTGTGTTCTGATAGTGACATGGGTTCAGACACAAATGCTTAGTCATTCTCTTTCCAACACTCTGGCTGAGACAATACAATGGGAAGGAACGTGACCTAGCTGCTGACACTGAGGGACAGCACGTGGTTGTTGGAAAGAACCCCTTAGGGGTGGGTCATGGAGCAGCAGCCTCTAGTAGCTTGCTCTGGAGTCCAGTCCTCACTTCAAGCCCGCAGCAGGGTTTCCCTGTAGGCAGATGAGTTGCATCCAGGCTGCACTGCAGTAGCCCCCGGACTGAATATGTAGGAGACCACCATCCCCACGCCAGGGAATCCCAGCTGATGGAGAAAGCCGGCATGGACCAGTCTCTGAGATTTTCATTGATAGAAAAACAGACTCTGTTCACAGCCATTTTACAGCCACATACAAGGGAGTGGCACCCCGGAGCTGTTTTAGGGAGACCCTGTCCAACTCTCAAGGCACGAGGACTGCTTATAGGAAGGAGGATGTGGGGGAGGTGTCCTTCCCAGGACTCTGGAAGGAAGTCCTCAAGGTATATGACTCGCTTGCTCCCACAGCCGTGAGAGGAAGTAGTCAGTGTGTCCTCAGGACCAAAGGCTACCTCCTCCCATTAGGAGAGTAGTTGTAGCACCTGCCGGAGGCGCTCCATCTTCCCCAGATGTGTGTCTCTGGCCTCGGTGTCAGCCTCATCGAGCTCCTGCATCAGGGCCTCGGCCTTCTGGACCGTCAGCTCACGGGCACTGCCCTTCAGTCCCTCCAGGTAGTCCAGCAGGGTAGAGAAGTGCTCGTCAGGAACCTGGGGGTGGGGTGGGGGGAGGACAGTGCTGAGCACCAGGGCGTGGTGATGAACCCTGAGCAGTGGCAGGCAAGGTGTCCACATGGGGACCAGCAGCAATGGAACACTGGGGTTTCTCCCTTTGCTTGCCTGGATGTCCAATCTATGTCATCCTCACAATGTCGTCTCCCAGCAGAGCTGTGTGCAGGGGACCCCAGGCCCCCCTGCTGCTACTTGGTCAGGACAAGAGGTGGGGACATGGTAGAAAAGAGGCCAGTGTGCTGGCAGGACCCTCCTGTGCCTCAGACCCTCCCTATATACATTTTAAAGATATATATATTTTTTGAGGTATCATCTCTAGCTCAGGCTGGCTTGAACTCACTTAGTAGCCAAGGATGACCCCAAACTCCTCATCCTTCTCCCTCTCCCACAGCAGTGCTGGGATTATAGGTGTGTACCCCCACACCCAGCTTATGCAGTGCTGGGGATGGAACCCAAGGCCTTGTACCCACTAGGCAAGTCCTCTACCCACCCGCTGAGCCCTAGCCCCAGCTTTTGACTTTGTTTCTATTTCAAGACCATCTATTTTCGGTACCCCCCACTTGAAACCCCACACAGCAGGTGCGGGCTATGCCTGAAGGTGGGTGGAGCTGACGGGCATAGCCCTCATTTGGCGCCTCCAGATATGGGCACCCAGCACCCTAAGATGCACACACAGAGCATCCTACGCCCTATATGACAGGGAGCTGCCTGGGGGAGGGGTCTGAAAGTCCTACAGGATAGAGGGCTTATGGGAGCTCAGCATTCATATGGCAGCTCACATCCCCTAACTTAGCTGTGGGCTTCTGCTTCCAAATTCCATCTCATCCCAAGGAACAAAATCCTGCCTTGAGGAGAACCCACACTCTCACATACAGATGGCACTGAGGACAAAGAAGGGATCAAGGGTCCTGGCAAACATGGGTGGAAGGGTGAGAAAAGACACCACACCGTATGGGACCACAGGGGCATCCCTCCCAGGCTGCACCTTTGCCCTCTGGGGCCCACATGATGGACATGTGCAGAGTCCCTCACCTGGGTCCTGCTTGCTGTTTACGGATCCTGTCACTAGGTGGGCTCTGTGCCCACGTATATGCCTGCCTGCCTGCAATGCATAGGCCTTGCCACCTGGGGGACCCAGCCCCTATGCAGGTGCCCTGGTTAAGGTGTTCATCTGCCATGCAGGAACCTTGCTTAGATGTCCACCTGCGCATGGACCCTGTCATCCATGTGTCCCATTGTCCATTCGGGGTCCTGTGAACCCTGTCACTTGAATGTCCTAATGCCCATGAAGGCTCCCACCTTGGCCTGTCTACTGTACACAGACCTTGTCTTCATCATACATGTTCATCAGGAGCCATGTCTGCCTCGTCTTCTGGAATCTCCAGCTCTCCTGCTTCTGGGCCCACCTGGGGACCAAGAGTGACATCTCAGGTTAATGGAGGATGGTCCCATGGGTGGAGTCTGGCTCATGGGGATGTGAACCCTCAACATGCCTACTGCGGGATCCCTCGGACCATCTGTGGCACCTACATTTGTAACATCAGGGATACAGGGCCAACTTTCACCTCTACAATTCTGCCGTTTTATGACTTAAAGTGAGCATTCTAAGTTTCTTGAATCCATTAAATCTTTTTTCTTGTTTTGTTTGTTTGTTTTTTTTTTTTTTTTTTTTTTTTTTTTTTTTGAGACAGCCTTAAATAGCCAAGCTGGCCTTAAACTTGCTATGTAGCCAGGTTCATCCCCCTGCCCCAGCCTCTTAAATGCTGGGATTACAGAAAGTTTGATAACATGCCTGGTTCAATTTTTTTCCTTTGCATTTTCATGTGTGTGTGTGTGTGTGTGTGTGTGTGTGTGTGTGTGTTTGTGTGAGTGCATGAGGTTGGGAATTGCTACAATCAGTTTTCCACCTTACTCACCAAGGCAGTCTCTCTCTCGTTTTTAGAGGCAGAGTTTCTTTGTATATCCCTGAATGTTTGGAACTCCCTCTGTAGACCAGACTGGCCTTGAACTCAGAGATCGTCTGCCTCTGCCTCCCAAGTGCTGGGATTAAAGGTGTCTGCCACCACTGCCAGGCAAGGCTGGGTCTCTTAATTAAACCTGGAGTTTGCCAATATGGTAGTTCTCCCTAGCCAGTTTGGTCTGGAGATTCCCCATCCGCCTCATGAAGTGGACTTACAGGCAAACCTTCACACTTTTCGTGAGTTTTGGGGATCCACACTCTGATCCTCCAGTTCTGATGTCAACACTTTAAGGACTGAGTCCTCTCCTTAGCCCTGGCTTATTAATTCTTCACTGATGTTTCAGCCTAGGCCTGTGAGGGTCTGGAGTATGCCATCATTAATCCTGAATGACTATGCATGACCCTCAGCCCACCTACTAAGCCAGATGCCCAGGCTCCCACTTCAGGCTCTTGCTCTCACAGCTGCTGCATGGGGCTCACAGGCTGCCCACTGAAGCCACAGTTCCCACTCACCTCAGGACTCAGTTGGGCTCTACCTACCACCTACTTGAGGGTTAACCAAGTCCAAGGAAGAACTCAGGTTGTGAGAGGATCCCAGGACAATCAGGAGATACGTTTTCTGACTTGTGTCCTGTTTTAAAGTCCCTCTACCATGTACCCTTCCATCAGTCTCACATATCCTAAGTCCCTGTGAGTGGCTTCGAGAGCAGGACAGTGTACAGAGCCACGATCCAAGTGGAGACTGGACACCAGCCTGGGAAAGTCGGGTAGAGGCTATCTATAGACCAGAGTTACTCAGGCTGCACCCAAAAACCTGAAATGGCAGGGCTGAGCTAGTTCTGAGCCCAGTGGACTTCAGGATGGGAAGGAAGTGGCCATCTGGCAGAACGAAGACATCCCCAGGTCTGTTCTTTGTCCCCCCACACATTCTGCGGTTATGGAAAGCAAGGCTGTACCATCCCCTCTCTGGATACCAAGGTAAAGAACCCAGGGGACCCAGCCTAAGCACACACTGGGCATGGGATGAAATATAAGGACATGTCAACATGCCAGAGGCCTGGGCCTGGCCCCCAGCCCTGCCAGAGACACTGTAAGGCCTACAATGAAGGCAGAGTGGGCCATACTGTACTTGATCCGATTCCCAGAGGGGACCATGCTAAGGCTCACGGATCCTGCAGAAGGTTCTGGGACTGAGGCTTCCCCTGGCATATGAGCTCTGGGTGGAAATCTCCTTCTAACCTATGTCCCCTCTTGTACCCTTGCCTGCTATAAGTTATCTTTATGAGCCAGGGGCACCAGACAGGGCCAGGAGGGACATTGGACACAGCAGAAGGCCACTCTCTGGTTCATGGGCTCCAATCATCCCTTCATCCCAGGCAACCTCGGCTGACCAATCACAAGGACTCCTGCTAGAGCCCCAGCTTCGGAGTAAAGAGTAGCCTCCTGCCTCTGCAGCTCCTGCGAAGCCACTTCTCCACAAGGCTGCTCTAGCTGGGTCCCTTTGATCTGTCTCAAAGCTGACCCGACTCAGAGACAGGCCACTCTCAACACTATGGTTGCTGTCATGCCCGCCTGTGGGTGTGGCCTCCTTCATGGAGACGGCTGAGTCTCTGTTTTCTGCCACTGCCACGTATGGACACAATGTCTCTAGCTGTGTCACTCTTCTCCACCATGATGAAGTGTGGCCCCCAATAAACCCTTTATCAGATGTCATGTCTTAACAACACTAACAGGGAAAAGGGCTGGAATGACAGTCCAGGAGATAAGAATGTGTATGTTCTGCCTGGAACTCCAGCTCCAGGGAATCAGACACTGTCTGTCTTCTGGCTCGCCACGAGCGTTCACATACGCATGCACACAGAATTTTAAAAAAAATTAATCTTAGAAACAAAACACCTACGAAGATTCCTAGCTGTAGAATTGTCTTAATCTGCAAAGCACTGTGGTTCAGGGATGTGTCTTCCCCACCTTCCAGAATGTCTGCCTTCAGTGTCCAGCCAATATCAGGGTGGCCACAGGACCCCTCACAGGGTAGAAAGAAGAGGGGAAGTGCCTGAGGGCAGTTCTGTGGATACTGACTAGGCAGGGCAGGGGCCTCTCTAACACCAGTCAAGGGGTGACTGGGCTGGACCATCCACCCATTCCACACCTGACACAATGGACCAGCCTCTACCCAGAACCATGGCAGTGGCAGAATGTTCTGGACTCAGCCCACAGCAGTGCTTACCCTTGGAGGTACTCCAGGGCCAGAATGGCAGCTGAGGGCTTGGCTGGCAGGGTCTGGCCCTTGGCTGTCTGAGCTGCAGCAATGCCAGCCTCCCGCAGCCGCTTTTTCTCTTCCTTTTTCCGTTCTTTCTTCAGTTTCCTTTCCAAGACTCTCCTCTCCTCTGGGGTCAGTTCAGGGCTGGCTTCCTGTACCTGAAAATCAATGACAGCCTGTCAAGCTGGGTGTGGATGCAGCCCCAGGACAGTTTGCCGCCAGCCGACCCTTTTTCACAGCCCACAGGAGGCTTCAAAGACAGTCATATGTGGGAGGCATGTATGGTGGGAGAATTCAGCTCAGGTGCTGGACCCACCCAACAGTGGGCTGAGCACAGTTCCACTCTTCCAGTTTCTTGAGTCCTGTGCAGTGACCACAGCAGCCACCAGAGGGCAGCAGTCACATGGACATCTTGCCTGTTCTGTTCTGCCAAGTTCCTGGCTGATGGCTCCAGACTGTCCTGCAGACCCAGGTGGGGGTTGGCATGGCCTTCATTAATAGTGACACCTCTCAGTGAGGTCCCACAGTGGGAGCTCAGCTGTGGTGGGGCACTGGCCTCATGGAGCACCACTTCTGTTGGCATCTTGCCGAGGAAGCCAACGCCTGCCCCGCCCTTCTCCCCCCAGGAGCAAAGGAGGATGGCTTTGGGAGTCATTCAGCAGTGCCAGCACAGTCAGTCCGCTTAGTCTTTCCTGGAAAAAGCATAATCAGTATCGACTCTGATGTAGTTAGCAGCCCGGAAAGGGCGTGGGGACATGGTGAGGAACTCAAGTACACTACCCCAGCCTTTCCAGGAAGGGCGAGCTCCCCCATGAGTCTAGGTTCCCACTGGTCTCACCCCCAGGACAGAGTAACAAGATAGGACCAACAGAAGTACTTCCTCCTCCCTGGGAGCCCCACACCCACAGCCCAGCCACAGGGGACCAACATCTGCTCAGATAAGGGCAGTTCCTCCTCAATCTACAGAGAAGGGACAACAGGGACTCCAGAGGCTACAGCAGGGCACCCTCCCCTAAACAGTAGCCTTTGCCTGGGCCCAAGGCAAACTCCTCCCCCACCCCAGTCACCCTGCACTCCTCAGCTGGAGAGGTCCTGAGGAGCCATTGTGGGAGGGTGCCTGAGTGAGTGCCCTCTGGGGACAAGGAAAAGAGCCTGGGGGGGGGGGTTAACTTGGGCCCTGGAAGTAGAAGAGGCACCTGATTGCCTTGGCTATCAGCTCCAAAGGGCTGTGGCCAGTTCCCTGGCTACTGCCTAGGTCCCAGAGGCTGTGTGTGTGTGTGTGTGTGTGTGTGTGTGTGTGTGTGTGTGTGTATGAGGCTGTGTGTGTGAGAGGCTGTGTGTATGTGTGTTGTATAAACTGCAGCACTATGAACCGCCCTGAGGCAGGCCTGCCTCTGACTCTACAGCCACGTGGGCGGCACAACACCACCAGGGCCAAGGTCCAGCCAGGGAACGGGCAGGGTGTGGGGCAGTTAGATGGATGAGATGGAGGTGAGAAGCATCGGCCCCCACTGTCTGCTGGGCATAACCTCAGCACCCCTCAGGCCCAGGATCCTGGTCTTGGCCTAGGGATACTGCCTGCTGACCCTGAGGTAGAGCCTGTCATCCAAACTAAAAACTCTGATGGCTCTCTGACATCTCCTGGGGCCCTCCACCGTGTGCCCTCCAAGGAAGGAGAGTCATGGTGCCTGGCCTTAGTTGGTGCAAGAGAGCCAAGGTGCCACTAAGAACATAGAATCCAGTCTGCTCAGGCGGCACTGGGCAGCAGACTCCTTTCAGACACTGCAGGAACCCCGCTGAGAAAAGCATCTGCAGGATAGCCAACAGGCAACCCCAGGTGTCAGGACTTCTCATTTGGGGAACTGAGTTCACATGGAAGCTACACTTCCGTTCCCTGCCTGGGAATCAGAGAGCTACACTGCAGTCTCTTGTTAAGAAACTTCCCCCATTTTCAGAAAGTACAAGAATAGATTCCTACTTCTGCTACGTGGGCTGATTCCTCCCTTCAGAGACCGCACCATGCTGTGCACTTGTTTGTCCATGATGTCACATACAACTCTTCGAACCCAGCCCTTCCACTGTACCAATCCATCTCAGGGGTCCCCTCAAATCTATCTCAGTGTTACCCCCCAATCTAACAGTGCCCCTCCACTGGATCTCCGAGGGAGATCATGCCGACCTCTGTGAAGTCTGTAGAGGAAGATCTACCCGTAGCCATTGGAGTCATTGCTATCACTGTCTGTAGTTCAGGATTTGATGAAACGAGAAATGTCACATCAAAATTAAGGCAACAGGGGCTGGGGCTGTAGCTCAGCTGGTACAGTGTTTGCCTGGCATGCAGGACACTGGCTTCTAGTCCCAGCTCTGCATAAACCAGGCAAGATGGAGCACACCTGTTACCCTAGTACTCGGGAGGTAGAGGCAGGAAGATCAAAATTCAATGTAATTCTGTCTGTCTCCACCACATTAGTGCTGGGATTACGGTCAGCTTTCAATGTGCACCCACAGTATCCAACTCAGGTCCTCATGCTCGCCAGACAAGCATTTGACTGATAGCCATCTCTCCATCCTGTTTCTGGGTTTTGTTTGTTCACATTATTTTTTAGACTGATTTATGTGCATAAGTGTTTTTGCCTGCATATGTACACACACCACATATGTCTCTGGGACCCTCTGATGTCAGAAGTGGGGGACACATCCCCTGGACCTGGAGTTATGGATGGTTATGGTCATGGGTACTGGGAATTGAAACTGGGTCCTCGGAAGAACAACAAGTGCTAACTGCTAAGCTATCTCTCCAGCCCTCTGGTTTTGAAAGAGGAACTTGATATGTGGCTCAGGCTGGCAATTACTCCTGTCTCTGTAGCCTCTGGAGCGCTGGGATTAGGTTTACCACACTCAGCGCACCCCCCCCACCTTAAAAACAGGGCTTTATGTAGCTCACGCTTGCCCTAAACTCACTACAGAGTGTTGCATGCATATGTAGTAAAAAAAAGCATCCACAGGACCGTGAAAATGGCTCAGGGGTTTTAGAGCACATGTTGCTCTTACAGATAACCTGGGGTTTGGTTCTCAGTACCCACATGCCAGCTTTCAACCACCTGTAACTGCAGTTCCAGAGGGCCCAATGCCCTCTTCTGAACTTTGTGAGCACATATATAGTGTACATATGGAATAGGCATGTGTATAAAATAAGGAGTCCAAACAATAATTTAAAAAACCGCCCTCAGAATGCTGTTGTACCAAGAACGGTGGCTGGGGACCCCAGACTTCTCATTTTCTTATGATATGATTTCCTGTCCTATGCCTTGTATCTTCTGGGCTCCATTTCCCTTAAGAAATGGCATTAACTTCACTTGAGAGGGCTCAGTTTACTTGGTTCAAGCTTAAAACCTCCAACAAGGTCCCCAGCAAGCTGACTGGTTCCTGACTTGGGGAGCTTGGAGGTGCTGTCTGTCCCACAGTACACTGGGGACACTTGGCTGGGCATCTTGTCATCCCTACTAAAGCCTACCAGTTGTCCTTGGTAGGCTGACACTTTGGGGCCACAGCAGAATCGGCAGCATCACAATGGCACACTTTTGGGGTTCCTCCATCCACATCTGCATGGACACCCATGCTTTACACTGATCTGGGGCCGGGGGAGCAGGCAGCCTTAGTCTGGTGCTGACAGGCAAGGTTGGCTAGGCCACTCTAGGGACTGAGAAGGAACCTGAACTAGACTCCAACAGCCTCAGTCCAAGATTGCCTGGTCTCATACCAAGTGTGTCTTCTCAGGGACAGGGCTGCTGTCACTCTCCTGGTCCCCACTGTACTCTGGAGGGCCTGGAAGGGTAAGGGGAGAACAGGAGGGCCCATGTCAGGGCACTGGCCCTAGCCTGAGTCATGAGTGAAGGGCCTCATTGTCCCCAGACTCAAGGACTCTTAGATCTGAGGACAGGTTCCATGCGCATGTCTGTCCACAGCTGGAACACCCGGGCCCATCTGCCTGCTGAATAGCATGACGGGGAGTGGGGGTTAGCTAGCAGGATCAGCTTCAAGCTGACCTGGAAAGTCCAGGCTAGCCTCAGCCTCCCTCAGTTCTGGGAGTACATATATACGCTCTACCCAAGAGTCATGGCCGGCTGTTCTGGGCCATACAGGTAACAGGTACCTGGGCTGTTTGTGCCTGTTGCAAGGCGAAGAGGCTTCACTCCATCCATCGCCTGTGAGCAGAGGCATCCAGATGACCTGGTGTTTTCTGCCAGCTGAAAGACTCTAGGTGGCATGCCCTCCCGCACTACCCCCACCCTGCTGCCTGCCCCCGCCATTACCAGGTGGTATGTAAACCCAGGCCCAGGATCGGCCTTGAACGAAGGGCAACTGCGTGGGCTTCACTCTTGTTTGCTCACAGATTTACTCAGGATGCCCTGGTTGAAACCTGACTGCTTTGAAGCCTCAGGGCCTCAGGAGATACACAAGGGCGGGTGCTGCTGCATACCCACCCTAAGCTTCAGGGACCCAGCCATTGCCTCAAGCACCACCCTTGAGTTCCACAGCGGTCAACAGAGGTCCTCTGTGTGGGAGGCAGAGAAAGGGCCCACTGTTTTTTCCTAAATTCACAGGACAAAGAGATGTCCACCTCCACAGAGCTAGAGAGTAGAGCTGCTGGCCCTGGCTGAGAGTCACCTGCGCAGGTGAAGGAGATGTACCATCGGCCTCCATCGAAGATGTGTGCAGGGGCCAGTGTGACTGGGTTATATTCGCCTAATAGGGAGCTGTGCTGTTCTGGGCCTCTAGGCAGTGAGCACCCAGGGTTTTTGAGCAACCATTGGGTTGGATGCCTTGATCAAACATTCTCGGAATTATGGAGGTGGTTGGTGAATGCCCTAAGGGGATTCAGCAGCTGCCAAAAACTGGGCCAGGTCGCTAAGTTGTTAGCCCACATTTCTCTGGGGGATGTGGGGGGAGCCTACCCAAGGCAGTGTTTCAACAACAGGACATCTTCAGCTCAGTTGATGTGGTCAGCATGGAGCAAAGCAGGGCTTGATCTCTCTCTGTCCCCTCAGCCCAGCAGCACTCTAGATACACTGTTCCAGGCTCAAGAGCCACAGAGTCCCAGGGACCTCCAGTCTATATGCTAAGTGCACACACCCCGCTTGCCATCCTTTTATTTTTT